CAATGAGAAAGCAGTTCAATATGTTTCCCACTTTATCATACTCAGAATAGGTCCTTTTCACATGTTTAGATAACATAAAAATCTGACACTCTCTGACGCTTATAACCCTTACCCAACCCATCAGTTATGAATGATTGGTTAATAAGTATTTAGGTGATGAATGTCTCAGAGGCACTTGAACACATTTAATCCTCATAACCACCCATGAGATCATCTCAGAAGTTAAGGGAAGATGTATCAGATGGAGTCAATAAGATCATATCACATTTATGTCTTGGTTTCTTCAACAAAACCTAAACTGAAACTGAAGTTCATGTAGATTAACTTTCTGAGATCTCAAAACTAAGTAAGTACACAAACCACACCTGTCAACTGTGAAACTCTATCATTATTTTTTGTGATCACATTGCTGGCTCCATTTCTATAGAATTATTTACATAATAACTTAAATTATAATAGAAGAAAGATATAAACATTAAGATATAAAGTACCTAGCTCAGCTGATATTTTTACTTCACTTTAGTACCTACTCCACAGACACTGACTTTTTCTCTGAATTTTTTTTTTTCAAAGATCCAGATGCTTGTGCATACTCTGGAGCAGCCACTGCAGAACTTCAGTGGAAATGGCTCACAATACTTTTCCCCTAGCTGTTGGCTCTACATCGTCACGGGACATGCCACAGGGTAGAAGCTTTCTGAACTCTTTTCTCGGTCCTGTGTAGCAGCTTCTCAGTAGCACCTGGGAGACCAGCTTTCTCTCTCCTTCTCTCTAGATGTCCTCCTCATCAAGACTGTGATACTTGTGTCTGATCTTTATGACTTAGATCAAATGTCTGGACCAGTTAACACAATGTTTATCCAATGCAATACCACTTTGAATTCATTTGCTCATTCCTTTACTCATCCTCCCAGCTAATATTTATGGCCAAATTCTATGTGTCAGACCACAGAGACACAATAAGAAACAAAAACCAGTCCATATCCTTAAGAAATTTAATGGAAGATACAAACATAGTTTAAATGACCTTCCAATGATAGAAAAAACTACAATAATGAAAAGTCAATGAAGGAAAAGCAAAAGATTCTCTTAGAAGATGTAGCAGAAAGAAGTGAACTAGTCCTGGGGGTTAATGAAAGGCTTCCCTGCAGAGTCACATTTAAACTGAGATATGAAGAGAATTTGGCATTAACGAAGATATACACATATACACATATCTATAGCTCAGGATGGACTGGACACAATCAAAACATCATGTTGTACTCAGAAAAGAAAATGAGCAGCGTAAAACAGATTGTTTATTCAAACTGATCACGCTACTTGGATTCAGTGTTTAGTTATGACCTAAAAATGACTTAACAAATGAAGACCTGAAAAATACTTCAAAACTTTAAAAGAATCACATGAAGATGAAAGTTTGGAGGAAAAAAAGCATAATAAAGGTAGCATACTATAGACGCCAAGATAGTATTATTCTTTTTTTAACATTTATATGAGAGTACAGTATGGAGTCATAATACAAATCTAGAGATTGAAATATTCTCCACATGCTTTAGTTTAATCCAGTCTGAAACCAATTACTCTTTCTAAATCAGCTCACATTGTTAGCTTTTACCAATGCTAGGGACAGTGAATGTAGTGTATTTTACTTACTGCCATGAAAATACATTTATTTTCTCCAAGGCAAAGTCTTCTAAACCACGTCCTTCACATTGAGGAAGAATAAGAAAAATTTTGTTTTTTATCTCTTTATATACTTCGTAGTTTTTCTGGTTAGCTTCTAGACAAATTTACAGTCTATGTGGCTCTTTATGCATTTTAACTCTTACTTTAAGTATTAATTTCATATTCTTCTCCTTGATTTTTTTCTTTCATCTCACCTAAATTATCTTTATTTAATGTTCCTAAAAATGAACCCAAATTATTTCAGAAACAATATGTAGGTCTACATAGATATATATTACTAAGATCCTTTGTGATATTAACTATTTCAATCACCACTCCTCTCAGCTTTTCCCTTTCCAAAAAGAAGCCTAATAGATTTTTACCCTTTTATCATCCAATCCATCCACTTCCCTGAATGTTCATTTTAGGTACAAAGGTAAATGGACTTTTGAAGGATATTTGGGAGGTAAAAGATAGAGACACCTGATATACATTTTGAAAAATGGATGGAAAGATAGAGATTTTTAAAGTCATATAATTGTGGTTCAGGAATCCACACTGCCACATCTGACAAAGGCAAATCAATAACTTGAGTTATTTTTAAATTGCTGTCCTGGGATCCTCTGATGGTATCACTGTTCTGAGCATGTTGAGTTATAAATCACATGGATCATGTCTTCCTAAACAGACTACATGGTCCGAGCAGAGAAAATTGTCAGAGAATATGACACTAAGTGAGATGCTCAAATCAAACCTCACACAAGGGTTCTATTATCCAATAAGTTTGGGGAATCTGCAGAATAGATCTTCCCCCCCCACTCCAGATAACCTGGCACGCTGGCATCCAGGCAAAGCTGAACCATAAAGGAGAGACTTTACATAATGAAAAAACTGACACTGTTACTTGTGCTGGGGTATTATTTTTCAAGCATACCTATTAATACAACCCTGAATGATTTTCTCTTTGAAAAGTGGTGGTACACCTGGACATGGTGGCACACACCTGTAATCCCAGGACTCAGAAAGCTGAGGCAGGAGGACCGCAAGTTCAAGGTTAGCCTGTGCTACATAGTGAGTTCAGGGACAGTCTAAATTATATTGAGAACCTGTCTCAAAAGATCAAAAAGAGAAAGAAAGAAAGAAAGAAAGAAAGAAAGAAAGAAAGAAAGAAAGAAAGAAAGAAAGAGAGAAAGAAAAAGAAAAGAGAAGAAAAGAAAAAACAGAAAAGAGAAGAGAAAAGAAAAGAAAAGAAAAGAAAAGAAAAGAAAAGAAAAGAAAAGAAAAGAAAAGAAAAGAAAAGAAAAAAGAAAAGAGGTGGTACAGTTGTTAAAAGTTTGAACTTTACCCTGGAGTGTGCATAGGTTAAGGAGCTGATCTGCTGGTTGTGTTCTCCTTAAAAAGTTGCTACTTACACATCACCTTTCTCTCCACACAAGTGCACGAGTATTTTACCCCCCAGAAGCTCGCAAGGGGTCAAAAATTTTAAGTGTGAAATCCCTTCACACCATATCTATCAGTTATGGCATGACAAGTCATTGTCCAATAAGATACTATAGACCATTCAGTTCCATTTTTTTCTTCTACAAATGCTTTGATGGACATCTTAACATATAAAACTTTGTCAGCATCCCTGACTAATTCCTTATGGTTGATTCCTAAAAATGGAATTTCTGGCTAAAGGAGCAAGACTATTTTAAAAGTTTTGGTACATGTTACTAAGTTGCTGTCCAGAAAGCTAGTATCAAATTCTATTTTTACCACAGTCTGGATAGCCATCACCGTACATATTCTGACATCTCTGTTAAGACAATAGCGGCGTAGGTAGGTTCACTGAAAAGAGGCAGAAAGGAACAAAGATCTTGCTGTGTTACATTTGCCTTAAGTATAGAAATAAAGAGAATTAAATACAGGAATTAGCTATTTGAAAGCTAAATGCACTTTCATGCTGATTTCCTGGGCCTCTAGCTGGGCTGAACTGAGCAGGCCTGGAAGAGGAAGTCTTTCAGAGCTACACCTAAAAGGAGATAATGCCAGTGGTTCCAGATATAAAATGAAAGCCACAAAAAAAAATAGGTTAAAACAAATGTGATGATAACATGAAGAGCAAATCAATTTAGAATTGATTGATCAAAATGGTATAGGGCTGTTTGCCTAACTCACACTGCATCAAAGTGTGATCAAAATGGTATAGGGTTGTTTGCCTAACTCACACTGTAAAAAAATCCAGTTGTTTAATATGCTGCTTTTGCAATAATGGGTAGTAAAGAGTTGACTGTTTAATTCCTGTTGACATGAAAGTATATTTGCATGCAAGGTGATAGGATATTGAGAAGACAGTAATGAGGGAATTCTATTTCCAGGAATCGATCATAAAAAAATTCATCAAAGATGTTGACATGGTTCTACATGTAAGTGAAGAGTGGTAAACATACATGGAAGTCCTTGAAAGCAGAATCTACGCCTCATTAGTCTTGGATTCTCCATGACCTATATGGAAATAGGCACATACATGCAAGCAGTATATGCTTCTTGTGTTTACAGAGAGTTTTATATATTAAGTTTTCATAGCCTCTGTTTATGCATCAGACTCTTGTTTCTCAAGAAAGAGATACCGTCACTTGATTTAGATGTTGAAATGGTATCACTGATAATATATTTTCAAGATGAATCAAGAATGCATGAGGATGAGCAATATCTCCTTTAGCTATACATGATATTTTTGTTCTCAGATACAAAGGAGAGGCATTTTCCAATGATATATTCCAGGAAAAATCAAACTGCCATTCTACATAATGCCACAAAATGTCATCAGATTGCTCTGGAAGTACATTTCACACTTTAAATGATTTTTTCTTGATTTTAAATGCTGTTAATTAAATAATAAAAGTGAAAGGTTCTCTTCATAATTATAAATGTTACTCCTCTCTCAACTTCTACCTAAGGCTCTAAGTTACACGGGTTATCCAGTTTTGCTGTCTATACCTGGTAATTAGTTGAGAACTATCAAATCCCCAGTCATAGATCAAAAAGGATGAATATTTAAATGGTGAAGTATTCAACTACAGAACTATATTCCAAAAATTCACTTTTTTCCATTATATCACTAAAGCCATAGGTTCGTTGAATGATTATGAAGGCTGTGCCTCATAGGATTCCTGAACAGGGAGTGAGAGGCAGAGAGAGAGAGAGAGAGAGAGATCATACTCTTAACTGCATATTGTGAAATCTTATATGTTCCTTCTGTAAGATTCATTTACATCCATGAATCAGAGTTTTGATTAAATGCTAATATGAAATAATAGAATTATAGATACTAGGCATCTAGAGGTGCTTACCTGAGTAAAGAAGGGTAGAAATGTGATAAACAAGAAACCCAGTGTAATGGTTGGTTGAAAGGTGACTTTGAGCGATCTGAAACAGACTCATCCATGCCATGCTGAAAAGTCCTAGGGAAACACAAGTAATTATTTTAGAATATACAAAAAACACTGACTGTGAAGATCATTGAAATGACTTTTGATTTTTATGTAGTATTCAGTAAACTAGTTTTATTTTAAAAGTGGTATGGTGCTAAAGTAGATAATGCAACCACTTCATCCTCTTGGGATTAGTTTAATAGTGGACTCACAGGACAGGCAGACAAGTCAGTAGAGCCATGAAAAACACGAATTGAGACTTTGGATATTTATGACACCAGTATATAACAATCCTTACCCTTGGGAAAGGTATAACAATGCCATTCCTATTTAAGAGTTTGTTTAAACTCACATTATAAAATTTGTCAAAGATAACTGCATAAGGAAAACAGAATAAATACCACCTACATCTTTCATAAGTACTGTTTATTTTTAGATTCTACTAGTTCCTTGTCAACCTGCATCCAGTAAAAGCAAAAATTTTGACATATTTGCTTCATTAATATGAAAATATTTAATATGAAATACCTCTTTTTAACCTTTAAGAGTGATTTACAAATATTAAATAATAAATGAGACTTTATAATTAATTTTGTGTTAATTGCCTAGAAAGGGGTCACAAGAAGAATTTAATTGTAAAATAACTACTGTGATTTAAAAACTAGAATATTTTGGCTAGACTATCTGATGTGCAACTATATTTTGGAATAGATTGAAACATTTTTTTCTAGGTTGACTCAAGTTCCATTATAAATCTTGACCATAATAATAAAAGATTTTTTTACATATAATCTTTAATAGACAGTTTGGTTAGTAAAAATTTTATAATAATGTGAGACTATATTTGCCCACATAGTTAAGAATGATGATTATGAACAATTTAAAAATGGAATCATCTGAAGTGACACCATCTTTCCATATAATAGAGAAGCAATAGTGTCTTTTGATCAAAACAGAACAGATTTCCAGTATGAAAGGCGTTCCTATCTTTTCATTCCATATTTTGCTTCTTGAAAACTCCCATTTTCCAAATTTGATCATTTTCTCCCCTTGTTATCTTGCTGAGTAGAGTATCTTCTAATTTAATATACTTAGAAATTTATATTTATGTCATTTATATTTATTATCTTTAATTATTATATTAGTATATATTTGCCATGTGTAATAATTTTATGTATCCTGAGGAATTCATACACATACATATAACATCTACTTCGAAGTATTTAGAATTTAGAAATTTAATATATCATCCCCTCCTTGAAAGTTATTTTTTCTCACTACATTATAGATCAGAACAAAATTCCAAAATTCTCAAGGTGGTCGGAAAACAGCAAAAGCAACAAGAGCAAAGGGAGGAGCAGCAGAGAGCAGGATTGTTCCCTCTGTTATGGTTTGTGTGTGAATGTCCCTCTAATGCCTCATGCAGTCATGGGGCGGGCTTCCAGAGTTTATGATTTGTTTTTTTTTGTTTGTTTGTTTTGTACAGGGAATCGAACTCGGGACCTTGCACTTGCCAGGCAGGCAATTGTGCCACTGAGCTGTATCCCCAGCTAGAGTTTATGATTGATCCATGGTCCAATATTGGGATTACAGGTGTGAGTGCTACACCTGCCCTGGGGTGGGTAGTTTGCATACAGTGTAAGGGAGGGAAAGAGGCTGCTTGCCACTGCTTCTCCCTCTTGCTCTTGTTGTTTTTACTGTTTTCCCAGCCATGAACTGTTGCCCTTTGCCATGTGCCACTCTGCCTTGGAGCCAGCCAAGTATGGACTGAAACCTCCACAAACTGTGAGCTAAACAAACCCTACCTTCCTTAATTTTGGTGTCAGGTATTTTGTCTCAGCAATGAGAGAAAAGTAACCAAGACACCCTCCCTTATATTATATGCAGGCTGCCTGCCCCAGGACGGGCATTCACACCCATAATCCCAGCATCGGACCATGGATTAATCAAAAACTCCAGAGGCCCACCCTATGACTGCATGAGGCTTTGGGGAGACATCCAGACACGACCATAACAGTCTCTTGCTGCTTCATGCCCCAAGCGTGGGGTCCCTGAAGGTTACTGAAAAGCAGTGTGTGAGCACAGACAGGAGCGATGAAGCCAGATAGCCTGAGTTTGTGTCCTAAGTGTGCTTTTTATTAGACATGCGGTGCTGCTTCTCAATTTACTCAGCCTCAGTTTTCTCATTTGTAAAATGGGAGTGAATGGGTCTGTTTGAGAAGTCTGTTATATAATGCATATAAAAGAATGAGCAAAGCGCCTCATACACAGTAAAGGTTCAGCACAGTTGTAAAGGGCCAGTCCGATGACAAGTGCAAGTAGATTTTAAGAAGGCCTATGAGCATCTCAGAACTGCCATAAAACTCCTAATAGTCTACATGGTTGCCTAGTTATAGTTTTATCCTCATAGTAGAAAAAATAGTGAGAACCTAATAATAATGGCAGTGTAAGTGGTGCCACAATTTCTGAAACTAAAATCCACTGGCAACACAGTATTTACCATGACATTTCTGCAAGGGCCCTTTACCCCACTGACAGTTTCTCAGTCATACTGGTAAATAGTAAGGTTATTTGGCCATAAGAGATGTTATGGCAGATGTTTATGGTCTCAGAGGGGGTGGGATCTGTGCGGGCATTTAATTCCACAGCAAGATCCCAAATTAGTTTCATTATTCTGGAGAATATAACAGGGTGAAAATTGGACCACAAGCCTCAATGGGAGAATGAAATTATGAGCTCACTATTAGAGAACCTCTAATGATGTTGTGGTATACAGTTTAAAAAGAAGATGCTCTGAATAATTCATGGTAGAGAATAAAATATAATTGTATGAGCCACAGCATTTTCTGCAAGATCATAAAAGAATTTCGATACTGCAAGTTGAAATACTTTAACAATAAATGTCCGCAAGTTGAAGCAAAATATGTTTCTTCTCACTTCCAAATGAACAGACTATACAAGTACCTTTGATGGAGGGAAAGGTGATTGTAGGGAAAGTCCTTGCTTTTGTCTTTCCTCTAACATCAATGAACCAAGCACTTTTCCTCCCACTAATATTATGCTGCCTCTGGGCTGACCACGGCCTAGCCCTCCAGCACTTGCTCCTAGATTAATTTTCTTTTGGTTCTCTGCCCTGCAAGTATGCTACTCCTTGCCCTCCACCCCACAAAAGGATTGGCTTCCTGGGCCAACCACTAGTATGAAATAAATCCAGGATATGTAAAAAGTGAGAATAACCAAAAGCTAAAAAGACAGAACTGGATATATGCTTTCCTTGCATGACTCTGATTTTGGCTGTCCTCCCAGCAGAATCCCATCTCATAATATGAGGCAAATGGAATAAACCTACCCTAAGAAGTGAAGGTGTGTTCTGTGAGGTTGGATGCCTCACGTTGCAGAAGGTAACCATCCTCCATCCTGCAGTTACTGGGTTGCCAGTGGAAGTGTTTAATAAATAAAAATACCAACAGAAGAACATAACCTCTGAAGAAGAATTCACTTGAAATGGAACTATTGAGACAGCACTGGAATATGTGGGAGAAATGAGGACAGAAGAGTCTTTTTGATGGCCTCCAAATCCTACGCATTTGTGAATATGTAGAAATTACCAAATTTGATCAACTTGAAGATTTAAAGAGGATTTTAAAGTCACTGCTTTAAAAAGAAAATAGTATTACCTCTAGGGCCAAATCTTGCTTAAATGTCATTAAGTGAAAGAGATCAAGGTAAAAACATTGAGTAAATTATGGTTCACTACATTTCTTCTGCCCTCTGGCTTGAATTTCTCATAATGAAAATGCCTTTCTGAGATTAGAAAAGGATGCTTTTAAGTTAGAAAATGGCTGGCACAATGCCTCATTCTTAGTGAATATAGTAAATACATGGTGAAAAAAAAAGAAAATATTGCCAGAGAGGAAGATGAATGTGGGGACCATCTGGAAATCACACAGCAAAGAGCAGGTAAAAAGCAGGAAGTAGAGTGGACTGAGAAAACAAGACTGGACCCCACATACAGCGGGAACTGCCCGCAGATTCAGGGCACAGGCCGGTTCCCAGATCAATGGCTGGTTCTTTCGCAGTGCTTCACCACATTACAACTACATGTAAAGCCGTTTGATTTTCTGTTTTTTAGAAGATATTTCCCTTTAAAAAACAATTAGAGGGAGGTACACAAAGGGATATATCAAAATGGCTAAGATAAGAAAGTGAAGTTATTTCTTTATTTAGTACTGGAGATTGAGCACAGGGCCTTCACACTCGGCTAAATCTCAGCACACTCAGATACCTGCCCTGCATATATATATATATAAATATGTATTAATATATAAATATATAAATAGAATTATATATAAATATATTATATTTTTACTATATACATAAAGAGAGAGGCAGAGAGACAGAAAGACAGAGAGTCTGGGTTCAAACTGGGTTTGAACGTGTCACCTCCTGCCTCAGCTTTCCAGAGTGTGGAGATCATAGGCATGCACCGATGCCAGGCCAGCTTATGTTTTATATTTTAAATATTTTTATTTCCATTCAATCTATATTCATGTTTGAGAGTTCTACTAAGACACGTCATTCATTATACACTTCCAAGTCATATAGTTGAAATGCTCCCACTATATTCAGAGAATTGCATAACCCACTTAATTAACTTTAGAACATTTCCTTATCCCTAAGAAGAACCTTGTACCTCTTAGTAGTCACTCTTCTTTTCCTTCTCCTTTGAACTCCTGGCAACATCAGTCTACTTTCTGTCTCTATGAACTTACCTACTCTAGATATTTCTTATAAAAGTAATGAGAAAGTGTTCTAGTATGTCTGATATGTTGTATTATATTTCACTTAGCATGATGTTTTTGAGGTTTATTCCAATGTTATATTAGCATTCAGAATATTATTCTTTCCTATTGCTGAATAATATTCCACTGTATACACTGGCATTTTTTTTATCTACTCACCAGTTCATAGATAATTGGGTTGCATCACTTTGTGTTATTGTGCAAAAATGTTGCTGTAAACATTACAGTACAAATCTTTGTATGGACATATGATTTTATTCCTGGATCACAAGACCATATGGTCAACATTTTTGACAAGTACATTCAACATTAACATTATGAAGAATTGCTTAACTGTTTTCCAAATGGCATCAGTCATTCCTGACGTATGAAAAAAAAATTTAGTTCAAAATATTTGTTTTCTGAGAGAGAGCGCAATAGTTAAGAAAAAAAATTAAATAGGCTAAGGATAGAACCTCAAAAGACTTAATATTAGTTTGAAACAAAGCTAGTGACACAACACTGGAATATCTATGAATTTAGGGATTCAAAAACCTTAAGAGTAACACAGAGGGGACGCCAGCATGAGCTGCTATTCCTGGGCTTAGAATCTACCTTTTGCCTATCCTGTATCTGATGACCTCAGCCTTGCCTGGTATATTGGCGCTTGAACTGAAATCTTGCTATTCCATGCCATTAAATGTTGACACACTCAACTTTCCAGAAGTTTCCACTTTAAGGAATTTCCATATGATACATCAAAACATTTTGGAAAGATGCAAATTTATTATTTAATTACAACATCAAAATTTTCATCAGACTTTCCTGAATGACTTCAGGGCAGGTTTCACATCTTGATTACTTTTATGTCCCTGTGGTTTATCATAGAGGCTAGAGAAACAGCAATGTTTGTTGAATTAAAATCAAATGCTATTTACTGAACATTTAGAAGTTAATTTGGGGGGAGGAAAGGTGCTGGAAATTGAACCTAGGGACATGTGTATAATAGTGACCCACACTCCTAGCCCTCCAATAATTAATTTTTAACTTGCTATATTCAAACAAAAACTAATTATCTATGCATCAAACTGCAACATAGGCAACCACGATATGGTATGTGTGTGAGTGTGCATGTGAATATGCTTCCAAGTACACAGTTTAGCTATCTTCACGAAAGAACTACGAGTGATAAGCATTTGGGAAACTACATGGTGAATATTTCATGTTTCAGCAAGTGTCTTTCCCTGGAGGACAAATCTAAAGTACTCCTCACACAATATTTGAACAGAAATCTACAAAGGCAACTTTAAAAAGAACACACACATTTTTGTGAACAGGTTTCATTCCTCCTGAAAAGATTTTAAAATCATGTAATCCTGCCCTGGGATTTAGTGGTCCTACACTAAGCTTAGAAAGGAAAACACTTTCAGTTTATCTGTCAGAACTATTTGAAATAAAGACAGTCACCATCTAAAAAAAGTATATCATACCGAATGACTAAGGGTAGGTATAGTTCATAAAAATTCAGTACTATCAACAACTGATTGTTACTTTTCACCAATTGCTCAAAGCATATGGTTTAAATTTTTAACATGAGACACAGACAACTTTTTTCTGAAATGTTAATAATATTACAACTTAATATTTCAGCTATGAAAAGAAACTCAGTGAGGCAATAGGGTTCTTGCAAAATACATATACTTTCCCCTAGCTGGTAAAGAATACGCTGCCCTATAAATTTCTTCTGGCAGCAAAAGTCAAAATGTATCCCAAAGATTAGATTTGTATTCCAGGTAACAACATTAAAATTTAAAAAACATGAAAAGAAAACGTGAATTTTTAAATTGAGAAATATTTAAAAAGAATTGAAATATATCTAGATCTTTGTTCATGCTTGAAAGCAATATAGCTATCTATGTTTTATATTAAGACAATCCAAACACAGTGCTTGGTGTAAAATGTTCTGTAATCCTGGCTGAAATTAACAATTTAAATTTTCTGAATGAGGTTTCAATGCAATATCTAATACACAAATCACAAAGATTTGAGTATTTCCACAGTTGTAAAAAATGTATCAAAAGGTCATAGGTTAATATTGAATGTATGTGACATAACTATTATTAAAGTATGCAATCTTTGATAATAATTTATTTGTTTTACAAATGCATTGAGGGGTTAAAATTTTTCAATTCATCTGTGACAAACCATAAAATTCAATAATGCTCACCATGACCAATCCATGAAATTTGTCAACTTTGTTCCTGATTTTCACAGGGCCTTCCTCTTAGATGAAATACTCCCAGTGAACTGCTAGCATAGTAATTTTTTCATCTATGGTAAATCTGTTTAGTTTACCATGATTTATTATGGGCTTCAAACTTAAGCTTTTTATGATTATGAACCATTATGTATATAATATTAACCTTATGGAGATTTATCTCATTATTTCTTCCCCTTATTGAAAGAATTTTCCATTTCTAAAATTAGTTCTCCACTTGGGACGGTAGAGGAGTATTCTATAAAGTTTTTTGAAAGTCAAAAAGTAGATGAAAATTATAGGGAAACTGAACCAAAGTTGTTAATTATTCTTAGAGTATCCAAGACAAAAGTCTTGAAATTTATTGAAAATCATGATATGTATATCACCTTTACCAAAAAGTTTCACAAAGCAATACTTCATGTATTAGCCTAAGTAGAAATGGTATGTAAGATTTTTGCTCATAACTAAAAACAGACAACTGTTTACTCTTTCAGTGTGAAATTGACAGTATTGGGGAAGGACTTAAAAATAATATTAATGTTTAAATTATAATATCTATTCCAATCTCTTCTATAACATTATAAATGTGAATCAGGTTAACCTGCAATCAAAAATAGTTCAAAACGTTTAATTTCTCTGAGTTTTGTTCAGCTAAGTAAAATATGTCAGCCTCTTTTATTGCAATTACTTATTTCTATTTTCACTTGCCATTACTAGTTCAGACATTGAATTCTAACACTAAAAAGTGCAAATCTATGGAAAGTGTGAACCTATTAGGGCTCCTAGAATAGAGCATATTTTAAAACAATTTTTAAATTTTTTTTATTAGAGCAAATTATATGAAATTAAAAACTAAAATATATTTTAAAAGAGCAAAAAGCAACTTCATGTCATTTTCTTTTTATATAGTATCAAGCAGTGACTAAGACATCCAACTCATAAAGATATTTTGATCACCTAACCCAAAAAGTAAAGCTTACAATTTCCCTGACTACATGGGAACCTTACCAATTGAAGGGGATTCGCGAGCAGAGATGCAACATTCATGGTAACTGAACAGCTCTGAGAATGAAGAAACCTCTGTTTGTTGATGTCGTTTTACAGAATACCCCAATTCACAGTATCAAAAATGCACCTCAAAAAATTTATTTGCACTTAACACAATTTGACAAGTGACATGAAAAGAATGTTGTTAAGCATTATTTTATATATTAACAGATAAAAATAATACATGTTTGATACTTACTTATATAATTCTCTTAATGGTGAAGTCAAAATGGCTAATGTTGTAAGCAGATCGTTACAATGGATATGAATTTTAAAAATTTTATCATCCTTATACTCCTGAGGACTCAAAAGCCTCTGTACAGATGTACAAACTGACCATAACATTTTCTCTGTGCATATCAAAATTGTTGTGACATCAAGTCTATTGGGAAAAAAAACAGAAGCACGTTAAGCAGAAAGATCTTTCTACTTTGTATATATAGTTTCATCCATTACTCTTTTTCTAAGCATATATAAGAACAGAAAAGATTTGGTTAGATGTCAGAGTTTTAGAGATCAAAACATAAAGCATCAAAGATACCTTTTGAGTTTTCAGGTGTTAAATGACCCACAGTACCATCATCTTTGGGATGGTGAAGTCTTTCATAGTGTTCGTGTTCCAGGAATGCTTTTCAAAAAATGTTTACTTTGCATTGTCAGGATTCTATTCCAGAAACTCAAGAGATTGTCCTTAAAACTGTACTGAGCAAAATAGAGCTAGATGCAAAGAAAACTTTGCTGTTATTGACATACAGGTGGTTGGTGAAAATGGGATAGCAGAACAGTTCTCCTCATCCATGTACAAAAGGAAGTTATAATGTGGGGTAATGTGTTCTGCCAGGAGTGAGTAGTAAAAAAAAAAATGGTAACAGAAGCACAAATACAGATCTGATAATTTCAAAAATTTCCAATATTATCAGATATGGAAAACTTGCTGTGCTATTTTACTTACAAATTTATTTCTCTGTTTCCACCTTTCAGAGTTTTCTTCATTTTTATATTTTTATTTTTAATTGACACATGATAATTATACTAATTTATGGGGTACAGTGTGACAATACATGAACACAATGGATAATGATCAGTTAGGGTAACTGACATATCTACCACCTTAGAAATAGAGTATACTATTTCTTCCTTTGTATTGAGAACATTTAAAACCCTACTGGCTATCTTGAAATAGTCAGTTAATTGTCCTCAACCATAGTTATCCTGACATGCTATTAAACATTGACAGTTATTCTTCCCATCCAGCCATACCCTGTACACAATAACCATCTTCTCTATGACCCTCTTTCCCCTTTTCCTGGATTGTAATAAGCACCCAAATTTACATTTAAAGATTTTTTTGGTATATGACTAACTGGAGCAGACCTCAGTGAATTTTCTTTTTTTTTTTTTTTAATTCAGAGTTGAAGAAACAGAAAACGGAAAATTTTGAAGTGATTAAAAAAAATAAATGACATTTAGGCCTCAAACTTATTCTGTATAATGAATTGTTATATATTAGAAATATATTACTTATTTGCATATATATATATAAATCATACATGGTTTTGGTTACATGACATGTGGAGGCTACTGCAATGCTAAAAGTATCAATAATTACACTTAGGAAGGTTCAATTGTAGCTCTCATTCACTTTTCTATTTGCTAAGTTAACCCAAAACATACACACACACACACACACACACACAATCTGATTTCCACAATGATGATGGTTTAGGATTAAGCACTCAAATTAAAATATTTATAGATTTTGCTTATGAAAACCAGAAGCAATAATTCTACTTTTGCCTGGCATTTTTATGCAGCCATCCGGAAAATAAAAGCCCAAAGTCTCCACAGTACAGTTAATTAATTAAATATACTACCTCTTTCATGAGCTGACGGTAAATCTGATTTCATAAATAATCTCATAATGACTTGCCACCTCATGGTCAAAAATGACCTGTACTACATAAGAAAAAGAACGACGGTATTCTTTTCTCTCAAAAGGAATTTTCCATCTATTCTTCAGAGTTCAGTTTTTTTTTAAAATAGCTTGGGCAGTAACTCAAGACAGCCTGTGCAAAATACCATATTTATGAAACACTGTACCAGGATCTAAATGCCCTTCAAATTACAGAATATTTTACAAGAACATGATCAGGAAATGATTCTTCCTGGGCAACAACAAAAAGCGACTTTTCTCTGTAGGTTCCTCCTAAAATACATCTGAAAAAAAATTTTTAGACCTAAAAGACTGGCCTTGTCACCTTAAACAAAGTATTTTTAAAACAAGTCTTTTCTTCATAGAAGTCATTGTTGTCATGTAAGCCCATTTAATATAATATTCACTGACTGAGTAACTCCTAGAATTTCAGTATGATTCAGTCTTTGATTTAAAACCCAGTAACCTGGTGACTTTTGCTCTTTAGTTTCTGTTACTTCACATGTTGCTGAAACAGCCTTTAGTAATACATAGTGGAAGGGAATAGAAAATAAATAAAGGACAAGAAAAAAGAGAGAATTAGAATATATTAGGAAGAAAACTAATTAGACAAAGTAGTTTCCTTAATGAAGACAAACTACAATATTTAAAACTTTAAAAGAATAATAAACTAAAATCCCTTGGTGGCCTAGAAGTTCAAAGTCAAATTAACTGTTCCATCACGGTATGGTTGCTTTTTTCTCCATTTCAAGACTTTAATTTTCTCTCATAGTCTTATTAATCTTTGTGTATATCTGTCCTAGATGACAAGACATCTTCAGCCCTCTCTTAGCCACAAATGGGCTCTATACACAATTTTATGAAGAAAAACAGAGCCAGGTTATTTGGATTCAAGGTCTACACTTCCACTTACATGCCCCAGGAGCACGGAACAGTTTCCTTTCAGATGTTAAAATCACGTTATGTATACAAAGACTTATGGTGTGAGATTCAGAATTACATTCTCCTTTATACCACCTAATGAAAAGGTTTTCATGCAAAGCAATGGCTTTCAGAACTTCAATTACCTTATTTGTGGAGTTCTTTTATAACTTGGGTGGGCCTGAGCATATCTGGAAGCCAGTAGACCCAAGGATTTTTCGAGCACTTCTGCTAGGATCTCCTGGGCTAACTTAGGGGGAAGAATGGTCCAAAGATCGTGATGAAGAGCCCAGTAGAAATAATGCCACATCTGGATTGAGAAGGAGCACCTTTCCCCCTGGCAAAACAACCACACATTAAACAATAGAATCACATCTTCCAAAATATCAGTTCACTTCCTACAAACCTAATTAGTTCAGGCTGAAAGGAAAAAGCTGGAGAGTCTAACACACTAGATGACCAAGAAAGATTTTTGACAAGATGTTAAACATCCTCTTCGACAAAGGAACATATGTTTTATTTCAACTATGAGTCCAGATATTCTAATGAAAATTCAGACCACAAGAATTTAACTTAGCATATCCTTGACTTAGTTACTCCTGGCCTAGCATTGAAAATCTACTTTTAAACAACCAACTTTATAGCTGCTGAACAAGTTGGGCTGGTTAGTTTAAGCTAATACACTGATTCCTTTAAAGTTAAAATCTGTTCAAGTTAATTTAAAAGGTGTACTTTTCTGAGACTACTAGCATCACTGAATAATAGTATAAATCTTTCAGATTTCACATTCTAAGGAAGTGAGAAGAATGAAAATAAACTTGTAGGCCATAGCTTATAAAAATATTCATGAAACGAAGTGGGAAGCATAACTATTGAAGATTACTACATTAGATTATTTCACCTATGCATTTCAGTAACCAAGAGCACATACTAGGAGTAGTCTAATTTTGAAAAGTACGATTTTGAAAAGCTGAAGTACATATTACCATCCTTTCTTTGTGGAGCCCTTTGAGGGATGACATTCTCTCTTACTCAGTCTTTTACGGACTCTTTGGTGTACTAAGTTCTCCCTGCCTGCTGCAGAGGGGGACCCCAAAGTGGCCCATGCCAAGGGGAACAGACGGCAACTGGAAGGTAGCCCCAAGTGATTTGAGCATTAATTAGGTAACATGCTTTTGGGAGGTTTGCTAGCTGTTCGAGCTCATTTTCTTCAAACGAGATCAAAAGATGTATTTGAAACAGGACAGTAGAATGCATTCTTCAAACATTATCTCTATTATGTTAATACATCAAAAATTAAACTATTAAAATTTCCAATTTTACCTCTGAGTAATTCAGTCTGACAAAAAATTTTGCTTTGACCACTACTCATATTTCTAAATAAATGTCATCTAAAAAACATCTGCTATTCTCTTATACCAAAAGTTGAAGGATTCTTATGCAGATATAAGTATTTTTAACACGTTGTTCTTCTGGCAGTTTCTTTGCTTACTAAAATAATTTGTAGTCACTGTAATAATTTATAGTTATTATCTACTGACTTTCAAATGGCACTGATAAATAAGTAGAATTCTTGTTCCTTGCCTTCATTTTGCTGGGAGATCATCTCATATTTTCTCCAAAAGAACAAAAGAAATCAGTCTCACCTTAAACCATGGAAATTTTTCCTCCAGGGCTTTATATAGTTTCCTATGGAACACATCTTAGAGTATAAATTAAATTCAACACACGTTGCCATAAATTTTATTTGGAAATTTTAACCTGTTAAATGTGTGCCTTTACTTTCCCCAACCAAATTTCAAATAAAGCAAAACTAAAACCCAGGGGGAAAAAAAAGGGAATTGTTATTCCTTGAACAGGAAACTTGGCATCAAATGTCAGAGTCAAGTTCAAACCAAAGGGGACTTTGACTATTGGCTTCTGACTTCCTAACTAGTTGTTCATCTAAGTTGGTTAGAAAAAAGTGATCATGATAAAGCAACAAAATTACAGCTTTTTATGATTTCTTTGTGGTGTGTGTTCTATGATAGGGAATCCTTTTCTAACTAAGAAAGACATTTTAAAGCTTGATTTCTGTGTCCCTGATACTTTATATGTTGTATAGAAATGAGTCAGTGCGGTCTCTAGTATGAATGATTCACCCTAACTTTCCCCTTGGCAATGAATGGGTACTTATCATAATGTGATCAACAGGATTTATTGTAATCATTGAAATACAAAACCCAAATTTCTTTAATATCTCCCTTTTAGTCATAAATGACAAACAAAAAAATAACTTTATGAATACAGATTTAATATCCTAAAAGGAAAAATAATACTCTTTTTAAGAATGTTTGAAATATAAATTTCATATTTACTAAAGAATATCCCAAACTGGTCTTTGTTCACCAACTCTCTTTAAAATGCATACAACTTCAATGTGTGCGTGGCTTCTCATTAACCTAAATGTGATTCATCTATTTTTTTCAGACCTGTTTCCCTATTTGTTGTCATTTCAAAAGTATTCTGCTTGTAAACATCTGTTATTTTTGCAGACCCACTGTAATGTAAACAGATGTGAGCTTTTATTTAGATTATATATCAGGAAACAAGCAGCTGGGCTTTATTATCCAAGCCACTCAATATTATCTTTGAACAGACAATTCTTTATTCTCTGACGATTGTAAAACACAAGTTTCTAAAATTGAGCAGCTGTCAACTTGACTAAGTTTAATTTTAAACATATAATCTGAGCACCCATCGTGCCATCCAGCCAGCACCTCATCAGACAGATACCCACTTCTTTGACTCTTGAAATCCGACAGTTTAGCAAATGGAAATGATGTACCTGTGGCTCGTTAGTTGCTAACACAAAACATGAGCAAATCATTCTGCGTCTTTTAAATTCTTTTACTCATTCTCTACTATGTTCTGCACATGGTGATATGCTCCCCTGAGATCTCTCTCTCATCCTTTGCCTGCAGTCAAGTGGGGATCATCTCCTTCCCTCTCCTAACAGGCTGACAAAAACACATCCGTTCTCTTCCAGAGATCAGGCAGAGGAATGGGAAGAGGAGCAGAAAGGGTGGGAAGCAAGATAAAATTGTATCAGGTACAGCACTTGTCACACAGTTTGAGATCCGTGCTATTTTTAGAAAGATCTTATTTTTGGTAAATAGAAAAAGCAGTATCACTTTATTTTTCTGATAAATAACAATCACTAACTCTGTAATTAAATTGTAACTACTGACCATGTAAGTATATGGAAGCTACAGTACCATGTAATCACAGGGGAACTGTGTCGTTATTTCTGTCTTTGAAGCAAATGCCTTGTCATAAGATCTAAGAGCTATGTGTTACATGGTAATTTGTTTTTTTTTTTTTAAATGCTTGGTAACTTCCATAACAGATTCTTAATGCATCCACTTATTATTTACACTGTCCAACTATCCTAGTTCCAAATTTGCATTAGAGGCAACAAAATACCCTTCTTTTGAACATATACAGAGATGGTAGCTGTTCTTCACTGAAAACATCACGCAAAATTGCTCATTAGTAGCCTGAAATATTGAAATAGTTTGAAACATGAGATGGATTCATTTTCAACCTTTCTCTTCCTCAAGGCAAATAAGGATGCTGCCAGGAGAGGGGAAGACCAATACTTTCATTCTTATCTCAGGCTACCAGATGTACCACACCACTTTCTTTCTCAGTCTGCTCACTGCTGCCACTACTGTTTGAAGTATGACAAGTTTGGAAAGCCCTATATGGATGCTCTTGCAAAGAGAAAAGCTATCTGGGAAGGGCCTCTAAAGGAGAGATGAAATGGCCTTAGAAAAACTGGAAGGTGCTTTAAAAGAGCTTCTTATTAACTTCTCTCTGTTACAGCAACATTTATTATGATAACCCAGGCATAAATAGAGCCACAGGGATCTTCAGCACCAGGGAGGTGACAGGAGCAACTGTCAAATAAAACCCCATTTTGTTACTAAAAATTCCATCATGGTTCGAATGATCAAGAAACAGAGACATAAACTTTAATCCAGAGGAAAAGGTGAAATGAGAAAGCTAAGGAAGTTAGGAGTGGAGGCTGGATTTTAAAGAAGAGAAATCTCAGTTATCTTTTATTAAGATATTACAGACGTTTCACCTTTTCATAGAATCAGCTTTGAGGAATGGCAAATGTTGTGGTCTGCAGGTAACATGTACGGAATTCAGAGACGAGGCATTCATGAAGCTTGATGATGAATCATTTTAATTTATCCACATTTCAGGTGTACGGGGCAGCATTGAGGTTTAATGTCGTAGAAATTTGGGATTTCAAAACATGGGATATCTTTAATAAATGGTGCTGAAAAGCTGTCTTTGTACATACCAAAGACTAAAACTAGACCTATGTATTTCACCATGCACTAAACTAAAAATCAAAATGGATCAAAGATCCAAATATTAAAACAGAAACATTAAATCTACTGGAAGACAAAGTAGGTAGAAATCTTGAAGACATAGAGGTAGGCAGAGAGTTTATAAACAAAACCCAAAGTACATGGGAAATACTTCAAAGAATCAACTGCGATCTCATTTTATTACAAAGATTTTGCATATCAAAACAAATCACCAGCAGGCTTGGGCTTAGCTCAGTAGCACAGTGCCTGCCTGACAAGCAGGAGGTCCTGAACTTGATTCCCAGTCCCCACCCCCACCAATAAAAAAGAGATCCAGTGGAGTTTAAAGAGTTTAAAGACAACTCACAGAGTGGGAAAAAATTTTAGACAAATGTCCCTCACACAAAGGACTTATCTCTAAAACATATAAAGAATTGAAAAAGAATCAGATCCCCCAATATCAAAGATCCAATCCGAAAATGCGCATCTGAGATGAATACACACTTCTCAGCTGAAGAAATACAAATGGCAAATAAATATATGAAACAAATGCTCAGCATCATTGGTCATATGAGACATGCAAATTAAAACAACGCTGAGATTCCATGTCACCTCAGAAAGAATGGCTATCATCAAAAAATCAACCAATAACAAATGCTGGTGGGGCTGTGGGGAAAAAAGGAACCCTTCTGCACTGTTGGTGGGAGTTTAGACTGGTACAACCACTGTATTTTTTGTTTTTGTTTTTCTTCCAGTACCAGGAATCGAACTCATGACCTTGCGCTTGCCAGGCAGGCGCTTTGCCGCTGAGCTAAATCCCCAGCCCTGGTACAACCACTGTGGAAACTGGTGTGGAGATTTCTCCATAACTAGGATTAGAGGTCCCATTCCATCCAGCTATTCCCTAGCTGGGTGTCTTCCAAGAAGAATTAAAAACATACTACCATGATACATGTGCACCCATCTATATAGCAGCACAATTTGTAACAGCTAAATCTTGGAAATAGCCCAAATGCCCATCAACCAAGGAATGGATAAAAAAGATATGATATGTTTCTACAATGAAATACTACTCAGCTATGAAGAAGGATAAACTTGAGACTTTTATAGGTAAAGGGATGCAACTTGAAACCATGCTCATAAGTGAAATAAATCTGACTAGCAAGTGTAAACATCCTATTGTCTCCCTAGTGTAAGAAACTGAAAGAGTAAATAAGATCCAAAATGCACAATAGATACTGGGAAATGGGAAGAAACTGCTCAAAGGGAAAGAGAAACTGGGATGAGGAAAAGGGGAAAAGAAGGATAGGAAAAAGATAAATATATATATACACGATAGTTAAAATAGTTATCTTACTAACCTCTATTAGTTCATTGAAAAGAAAGATCTGTGCTTATATTGTTGGATCAATTTTTCATATGTAGATCTTGTAATCTTAGCAACTACTCTGAAGATAACAATATGCAATGTATTAACCATCGTTACTCTCCTACTATCTTATTTGGAAATTTTGTATCATTGTTTTTATTGCTTTTTTCTCTTTAAAATAAAAAACATTGGCTAAATGAAAATAGATAAAGTATAAGTGATCAGATGAGGCTCAAATTATACTCATAAGAATGAGAAGAGAAAAAAATCAGAATAAAGAATAAAGTTACTTAACAGAAAAATATTTATCAAACACAGATGGAAATATATAACATGAAAAAAAAAAAAAACCTTCAAGGATAGCCATAACTGGTACCTTTGGAAAAATACAAGGCATTTTGGTATTGTTATCTCTTAACATTTTCTTGGTATCTCATTATATTCCAACTTATACAGTACTGCAACATTGCAGCTCAAATTAAGTTATTTTTACTTTTAAGCAGAAGGAGAGTTCTGATGTCTAATTTATTTCAGGTTTTTAAAAACTGTTTGCCTTGCGTACAAATTCAATATTTAAAAAATATTATCCTAACAGCCTTCGTATGTTAGTAATGCCAAGCTCGTGTTTTTAATTAGCCAGAAAGCAGGTAGGCAGTAAAACATATTTGTGTAAAAAGGCGGGATAGTAAACTTAACTTCACACCTCATAAAAAGCTTTGTAGTCATCCCAGTGGTGGCTCTCAGCATCCTGTAAAATGCTTGTAGCACAAACTCTGATGCAGTAGTCCGTAACTTGAAACTGTAGAGTGTTGATGAATTCCTGATATCGTTGGACAGGCACCAGGAATACGGGTCTGCTCAGAAGGAATGATCAAAGAGACAGAGATTTAAGGCCTGTGCGGTAGGAGGTAACAATCTCCAGTACTACAAATGGTTTTGATTATTAGATATCAATCATTCATTTCCTCCTAATGCTGAAGCCCACATACACATTCACTTTCCAAAAAGAAAGCAGGGAGGGGAGAAAAAAAAAAGCTGGTCTTTGTTTTGCAAGTCCTTTGAAAATGTACATCTGCTGTTCTACAAATATGCACTTCAACTTGAGAAAAACTACATTCTTGATACATCATTCAAAACTAAATGTATTTTTTGCAAACCTATTATTAGAGATGCGTGCATTATTTAGGCAGTAGGTTATTGTTATTACTGGAGAACAACGTACACTTGTCAGAACCAACCTCTCTAAAGCTATCACACATGCCACAAACACACTCCTTTTATTTAAGGAATTGTAATTTTGTAGAGGCCAATTATCTCATAAGCTGTTTTTAAAAATTCTACACAAATGAAGTGACTTCTGGCACATTTTGTTTATAAATTCAAGTATGAATCACAACATCTATCTACTTATGAGAATTAAAGAAATACCATAGCTAGTTCCCACATCAAGCCAAATTTATTTTTATCTTCAGCTATTTATAGTCCACTGTTTTCTTTCATAACTAAGAAGCTATGAAAGCTGAATAAAGAATAGAGAATAGATTCTTGGGGGTCACATTGAACTGCTAGGTCCACATACTCCCTTGGCAAAGGGTCACACAAAGTTGTGGAGAGTATATGATAATACCTGTGCTAATTTTTATCTCTACATAGAAAACATCATAATTTTAGACTGCTGTATATGAGAGTTAAGACAGGTAGATGCTCCCTCTTCAAATATTATGGATTGTCTGTTACTAAATAGATGTCCTGCAGTATGTTTACCTTGTTCATTAGAACAGATTAAAAAGCATTTACTTCCACCATGGCAATTCCTAACAGCTTGCTGGCGTATAAACAGAAGAGAGAAGAAAGACTTCACAAGTGAGTATATCTGGGACAAAACAAATTTCTTTTCTTTTTTTTTCTCAGTGTGGTCAGTATAATGTACCTTACAGATGGAAGGGCTACACTGAATCACATTATAATAACATGCAGAAAATAGCTACTCTTTTTTGAGTATGCCTTCATACTGATTTCCTTTCTGACTGTCTATGTATGTACTGTAGTATACCCCGGGCTCCACCTTTTTGACATTTGCTAGTCAAGAGAAATGAAAATAATTTGCCACGCTAATTATTATTTTCTCCTTCTCAAATATTATCATCCAAATTTCACTCTGGTGATACCTGAAGATTACATGTTTCCTGAAGCATGGCCATCAACTTAATTTAAATGACACTCACTTCTGAGTAGTTCCTTTCATCAAATTATCATAGTGGGTGAAGTACTGGGAGACACACACTGCTGTGGAGAGCACCGTGAGCAGGTTTTTCAGGGGTGCTCTGGAAGGAACCTCCTTGCTTCTCTGCTGCAGTCTTTCCAGGACAGCTGTTGCCACTTTATAACAGGCCTCCACCAAGTTTGCTCTAATTTCCTGAAAAGAATCATCTCTGCATGCCAGAGCCAGTGGAAGCATTGTGTCAAGTTTTTCCATGATGTCAGAGCCAAACTAGGGAGAAATAAATGTGGCGCTGAGTTATTTGTATTCTGACAGCACCGTGTAATTTATGTACAATAGAGCCAAGTTCCTAAATAATGAATTTGGCGTCAAACATAAATACAGTGACGCAGCTTTATAATAATCAATTTCTCAGTTGTGGAGAGTTAAACGTTTCATGTCAAATAAGGAAATACCAACATGATGCTTCTCTGTGTATAACCTTCAAACTTTACGCTTACCAGACAGACATTATGGAACACTTATGAACCAGCTTCACTTGACAAATACCTTTATAGGCAGTTAATAAAACTCAGAAAATGTGTCCTTCATATTGTTTACATTATTTTTGAAATTATCTGACTCTTGCTAAATTTCCATTCAAAATATTTTAAATCAAACACCATATATAAATATCAGTTTAATTTAAATAAGTAAAGAAGCAACAGAAACAATCTCATGGCATTTTCTTGTTGGCAAAGAGTCAGGAACTTTCAGAAGGAATGTGTCTGGCTTTCACTTTTCACTGTATATCTATTTCTCTAGGGGTAGTGGGAGGGGTGGTGGATGGGAAGGTGAAGCCAACAGAGACCTCTAGGGAATGTTCTGGAACCTCAAGTTGCTGAAGTCATGGCGGACTTAGCGTGGAGTAACTATATTTAGCTATATTTACCTACATCTTATTTTCTCCGTATTTTTTGTGACTTTCAAAACACTGGTAAAGATATTCATACTGACACTAGTGACATTCCACTTAGGTCTAAATAAAGATATTTTAATTACCCTAACCAAGAAAAGACAATTATCTTCTTCACCCTCTACATTTCACCTAGCATCATTCAAAGTTACAGTCAAAACAGACAGTTTTTCATCTCCCTCCCAGTCCCAGAGGCCCTTTTACACTGCTTCAGACCACCAGGGCAAAAAGTGGGCAACAGATGGAGATCCTTTTTGATAGCAGGAGCCCATGGACAGCAGAGAATAAAATTGTACTGGATCAGGTATTTCCGAAGAGATTCCACCATTTGATCTATAGGTTCCTCTTTCAAGGTGTTATGTTTAAAAAAGAAAGAAGAAAAGAAATCCCATTTCACTCATCAGCAGTTTGAAAGGATTTCAGTCGGTCCTTGCCTTTGCGATTTTCTTTGGTTGTTCTTCCTCAGGAAACACGTGACTGTCTTGCCAGATTTGTTGGACATTTACAAGGGTTATAGCATAGCTCACACCTGAGGACCTCGCGCTCTGTTCCTGTTGGAGAATTTCTGTGGAAAAATCTTCAACTGTCGTCGTAAGGCACTGTGCTATGGGGAGAGACACCTCTTTAAATGCATTTCTCCAGCCAAAATCCAATAAAGTAGCCTGGAATAGCAAATTTACATGAAGTCATATTAATCCTAACTTAGCAACAAATGTTTCTATAGATACAAAATTACTGCTCTCATTCAACACATTGAATATATGTGTTCTCTGATATACTGTAAAAACTATTCTTACAACCTGAAAAATATTGCCTAGTGAATAAAGCAATATACAAAACATGTGTATTCTTTACACACAGTAATATACTGATGTTTCATTTTAATTCATCAATGGATTTAATCAAAAACTTTTTTAAAATTTAATCTCTTAAATATAGTTCAATAAAACATCTTTATGAGAGCCAAAAGGTACACTTACAGTTTATCACAGAAAGCAACCTTTAAATTCAATATATTTAATAAAGTCTAAATTAGATTTTTATAGTCTTTTTATAGTTTATTGTTAACAAGTAGTGCAACATAAGACAGCATTTAATATTCAATCTTTGATTTCTTTTTTAGTCTCAAAATCCAGACAGGCCCAAAAAATAGCAATAAGAAATAAATTTCTCACAAAAAACACACCACTGTACCTTTCTGGACTTATACTTGCTTAGAATTTTATTTAGTCTCTCCACCCATGAAGTGGTAGGCTCTGCCACATTTTTTCCAGGAAATGAATAAAATGATCTGCCTTGCCCTTTGTGTGGGAGGAGTAGGAGCTGAGGGATAGAGGCTGATGTCATATTTTTTTGTCTTGTTTTTCTTTTTTTCCTCGGTCTATGTCTCATATGGTTGTAAAATTTATAAATATTTATTTTCCCTAAGTCCCCTAATGTTTATGAAAGTACTGAAAACATGAATGCTACGCAGATCCTATGCTTACAAGTAGATTTCTCCATTTTAATGTAATCTTATTGATGGTAACATTTCATCAACTTTAAATTCAGAAGACTGAATTACTTATTTCTCTTGATCCCAGGTTTTTTTGTTAAAAAAATAGGAGAGGAGTTGAATGATTTCTATGGTTCCGTTTTAGAATAAAATTACTGAAATTATGATCATTAGCCTAATTTTTTGTATGCATACTCTTTTCAGCATTAATTTAATTATATATAGATATATATGCTGTACAAAATAATGAAGGTGATTCATTCCTTAGAGATAATGTTGTATGAATCCATGACTCTATAATCAGCAAAAGTAGCTCTTATTCTCATTATAGACATAATAAAATGTAACTGAACTTGCCTGTCTAAAGTCTATTTGAACCTTTAACACCATAGGGCCTAAAACACATCTTTCTTGTCTTACATTTACATAAAATTAACCAATAATTGAATCTACTAAGTGTACAGACCTTCTTTTCTTATAAGTGGAACTTTAGAAGCAGAATGATAATAGCTCTGTGCTGTGACAGTAATTCCTTGGGATGTACTTACGATAGAAATGTAAAAAGGAGCACACTTCCACGAAAATGAAGACAAACAAAAGCACTGATTTTTTTTGTTGCCTCATCAGTGGCATATCTATTTACTATTATCATTCATTCATTCATTCAAGAAACTATTTTCTAGTAAAAATTGTCATTAATTGTAGTAGTGGCAGTGAAATTTTCTTTCTTTATTTTGGTACAATGATGATTATCTTTACTTATAATAATCTACATATAATTATAATAGGGTGTCCCATCTGAATTCTCTTTTCAAAACATGTAAAAGTAAACACATTAATAGCTGCTCTTAAAGGGAAAATTGTAAAACTTTACTTACTGAAACTTTCTTCCAGAAGTCTTAATTTTTCATGAAAAATTATTTACTTCTGCTCCTCCCAGTCAATATTAAGCATCTTACATATTCCAGTTAAAATACAGAATATTTAATGGTTGATTCAAGAAAAAAGAGGGATTGACACCTGACTTTGTCATCTGTGCATAGAGTAGATATTTATTGAATCTCCATCTTCTATTACCTAATATGAATTTCTTAGTATTCCTTATGATTTCTGGTTAATATACAGTGTATAATTCTGAATTTTCCTCATTACTTTTATTGCTGTCTAGGTTGAAAGTATGGTAAAACTATGTGTTATCTGCCTTTTAAAATATTTACCTTGTATTGGTCAGGATTCTTTAAGCAAACAGAAACCACTCAAGGTATATTAAAAGGAAGAATATAATGTAGGGTATTGGTTACCTAGGTGATGGAAGATTTGGGAAACCAAACATAGACTGTGAAGCACAACAGATATTAATGCAAAAGAAAACTACATCTACTCATATGGCTGGAGGAGCAGAAAAAGGGGATTGTGCCATGGGAAACTAGAACCTGGGGCTAGCAGTGGAAGCTAAACCCAAGGCAGACCAGTTGGAATCATGCAGGGTGGGAGCCAAGTACACAGAGGAGATAGAGAAGTCTCAGTCACTGCCAGAGATTGTCCCTGAGGGAAAAGTGGAAGAAATACTCTTGTCTTTCTGCAACTCCTACACTCCAATCTTCCGTCAATGCCTTTAATTAACCAGATCTTCCCAGAACCCAGAAAGCAAAAGTGCCTAGGAGATATAATTATCTATAGAATTATATAGAAACAGAGCAGGAGAAAAGGGGTAATGCATCAGTAAGCAAGCACAGGTTGGGCACACAAAATAAAATAAAAGTAGTTCAAACAATTATTCTCTACCTCCTTTTACCTCAGTTACCTCACTTTTTAACAATGGCCTATAGCTCACATTCTCCAAGTGCAGACCTTGAGTCAGGATAGGAACAAAGTCTTTTGACCTCCATCTCTCTCCGGCCATGGAACAGACAATACAGGAGAACACTCACACCACTAAACTGATTTTTCTCAAAAACTGATAAGCCAATCTATAATCAGAAAAATTTTAGGGGCAAAGAGGAAAACTTAGGACATCATGATTCATAATGGGCTCACAGACATGAGGTGCTATTATTTATGAATAAAATTTCTTACCTCTTTTACTGGTAGCAATTGCTCTGAAGGAATACTAGTTTCATTTGGTTTCTCTATTTTAATTTCCTGATTGGATTTCTCCAAAATTCCTAACAGAACAGAAACAACAAATATATTTTAAAAGAATGAACGACGCTAGCTGTGATGAAGAGATTCAGATTAAAATTAATTATGCACAAAAGCTCTACCTAGAGCATATATGTGCACAGAAATACACATACATACACACACACACACACACACACACACACACACACACACACACACACATATATGCACAGACACCCATCAATATTCAGGAAATACAGCCAACAAGATGTAGGGTGTAGCTCAGTGTGGTAGGTAATCCCAGCAATACAGGTGGCTGAAATAGGAGGACTGAAAGTTTTAGCCCCACCTGGGCAATTTAGGGACTCAATAAGACCCTATCTCAATAAAAGAATAAATGAATAAATAAATAAATAAATAAATAACTGGGGATATAGCTCATTAAGAAGGTCCTGGGTTCAATTCCCATTATAGGGGGAAAAAGTAGGGTAATAACACCATGATAATAATGAAAACCTCAAAATATATAGTTTTTTTACATATACCATACTACTTGGTGAAATCTACATAATAGTTATTTTATAATTGATGTATATGACAATACAATATGCAAAGATCTTTTGTCATTACTTCATTTTCATGTTGACAGTGTAAGATGAATTAAAAGCAGAAAATAAGCTTTTTGCTCATTTCAAAACCTAAATTCTAAATTAGTACATATAAAAACTGGTGGTATTTCTTAACACAAGAACACTTCCTTTCTTGAATCAAAAAACAGGAACACAGAAAATTATCAGTATATTAGAAAAATATACCTTTAATAACCATATCAATAATTAATCTGAAAATACCAAACGCAGAGAAAAACAGGTTACAGTCCCTGGCTCCTAAAATAGAAATACCTTCTCAACTTAAGAAATAATTTCCCACTGGGAAAAAAACAAACCTACAAAATAAATAATGCTTCAAAGGGAAATCTTTCTATTTTTTCCATTAAAGTTACACTAATGATAGTTTGATTCAATACTTTAGTATTTACTTTGTTTTCTTAGACTTAGTAGATGAGGATAAATGATACACTATGATCTAATTTTTCTGCTATTTTTTTCTAATTTTCCAGGAAGGTTACAAATTAATATCTCATTCCTGGAACAAAGTAAATATCAAAATTTTATCATTTTATCAGTAGGGATTCCAACCAATAGAGTTTTCCAATAGAATGATTTGTTTTTCTTCCTTTAAATATAGTTCTATGATGTTAACTAAGAATAATTTTTAAGAACTACTTAGAAATAAAAGCTACTTTGTTATATCAGTAACGTTCCTATCAACATTCACATACATAGAGTATACTAATGGTAAATAGTCCAGTTGTTAGGCCATAACACCATAGCTATGTTTGGAGAAGTGCCTCCCAAGTGCTCCTGGAAGTGATGGAACCTTTAGGAAGCAGGGCCTGGTTGGAGGATGTTAGGTTCCTGGGGGTGCGTACTTGAGGTGGATACTAGGACCCTCGCCCTTTTCTCTGTCTTTGCTTCCCAGCCACCATGAGGTAGATGTCTCCTTGGCCAGGTACTCAGTCCTGTAATGGACTGTACTGCCACAAGCCCAAAGTCAACAGCGCCAAGGGACCATAGAATGAGACCTCTAAAACCGTGAGCCAAAATAAACCTTTCCTGCTGAGTTCATTACCTTGGTATTTTGTCTCAGTCACTAACCATTTTCAGGAAATTTTTTCAAAGTTTATTTTGAGGAAGAGTATTCCTCAACCCTCAAGTTTGTTCACTGTTTTGGATATTTTTTAAGACCTCAGAGAATTTGCATAAAGTGATAGAAAAAATATGTAACATAACTACACTGCCAGAACTACAATTTAAAACTCCAGTTTTATTTTTCAAGACACCTCCCAACTTTGAGGTTTTAGAGTCAAATATTTGACTGTATTTATTCTAAAATGGTTTATTTTATTCTAAGTTTCTATTTATTCTAATTCTATTTATTCTAAATTTATTCCAAAATATTTGACTCTATTTATTCTAAAATGGTTTTTCTATGGTTTGTACTTTATAATGCCTTTTTAAAAAGATGGGCTTATGAGTAAGATTCATTTCTAACACTAAACTAAAATTCAGATTACCCATGGATATTTTTTTAAATAAAAGAAAATGAAACAAAAAAAGGAAAAAAATGGACTATTTTTTCAAAAGAGCCATATAGAAAAGGCTTTCCAGAACACAAACAGCAGAAGTCATAAAATAATTTTCAAAAAAAAATATACCATTAACAGTCAACATCAATACAATAAACTCACTTGGCAATCTTTCTCAAATTGCTCATTTAAGTAAAATAATTGACTTTATTTGCAGAGATGTTTTAGATTAACATAAAAATTGAGCAGAAAGTACAGAGCTCCCATGTCATTTCCTCATCTTTAGTTTCCCCTATTGTTTATGCCTCTGCTGCTGTGTTGAATGAAAATTAAAATATTATTACTAACTAAAGTTCACAATTTACATTAGGATTTACATTTTCTGTTGGGTGATTCTACAGATTTTGTCAAATACATGATGTTATGTGTATACCATTACTTTATCATATGTAGTAGCTTCATTGCTCTGAAAACTCCCTTCTACTCTACCTACATATGTATCTCTCCTTTCTTAATATCTATGCTTGGCAGAATAGATCTTTTAAACAGCTTTACAGTTTTGCTGGTATCATAATATCTTAGAGTTGGCACCATACAGTATGTCACCTTTTCAGATTGGCTTCATTCACTTAGCAATTTATCATTAAGATTCTTCCATGTTTTTTCATGGCTTGGCATTTCATTTCTTTTTATTGATGAATAATATTCCCTTGTATTGATATACCACAGTTTATTTACTCATTCACCTACTGAAAATCATCTGTGTTGCTTCCAAGTTTTGGTAACTGTGAATCAAGTTGCAATAAACATTCACAAGCAGGTTTTGTGTGTATGTAAGTTTGCAGCTCATTTGGGTTAATACTTAGGAATGCAATTGTTAGATTATAAGATAAGACTATGTTTAGCTCTGTAAGAAGCTGCCAAACTGTCTTCCAAAGAGGCTGCACTATTGTGCATGTCTAGCAGCAAACAATGAGAGTTTCTGTTGTTCCACATCCTTGCCAGAATTTGCCCACTGTTTTTTTGTTTGTTTGTTTGTTTGTTTTCCAGTACCAGGAATCAAACTCACGACCTTGTGCTTGCCATGCAGGCACTGTGCCACTGAGCTAAATCCCCAGCCCCTTGCCCATTGTTAATATTCTGGATTCGAGCCTTTCTAATAGGTGGCTCTTCTTTTAGTTTGCATTTCCCTAATGATATATAATGTTCAGTATCTCTCCATATACTTACTTGCCATCTGAATGTGCTCTTCATTGAGATGTATGTCCAGATATTATTTGCACTGCATATTTAAATTGAATTGTTTTCAGAGTTGAATCCTAAGAGTTTTTTGTTTATTTTGGATACAAGTTTTTATCAGATATGTATTTTACTATTTTTTAGTATTTTTTTAGTCTGTGGCTTATCTCTTAATCATCTTTAGGACTATACATTTTTATTTGACAATTATACTGTTGAAATTTACCTTCCAGATATACAAGTAGTTGTGCACATGTAAGGCACAGTTTAAGGAACTCTATCATGTCATTTTTTGTGGTAGCAAATGAAAAGGGAAAAGCTCTAAACATCCATCAATTAATAGCTTGTGAAATTGATATATGCAACAATGTTCAGCTGTTAGAAAGAATTAGTTGTCTCTACATGTATTTTCTGAATTTTTAATAAGAACATCAGGCTAGTGTAAGAAGCTTTGTGTTATTTTAACATGGGGATATTTAGTAGCTGTTTCTAGAAGTGGAAACTAGACACATGAGATGGAAAAAGACATAATTTCATCAGATATCCTTTTGTCCTATTCAAAAGTTTATAATGTGCATGTGGTCCTATTCAAAAGCAAATTTAAAGACAAAGATAATAAAGATCAAGTTGCTAATGACATGAAGAGACTTGGATCCTTAATATCATTCTACTTTTCTTCAGATAGCTCATAAAACCAGCTAATTAAGGAAGTATTTAGCCTAAGGCAAAAAATAGCACTAGTTTGAAACATAAGCTTTGTGGATTTGTTTCTGGAAATAACTATCTGCTGCTATTGTTACAGTTTAAGTCATAGGAAGAACAGTTAATTATCTTGTATTTATCACTTCACTCCCCAAATACATTATGTTTATTCACTAAATGTAATGTACTCAGATGTTTATTTAAACCATCTGCCTATTTTCAAGGTGAGTAAGAAAAAAAGATCAGTGTTCCAAGACATCTTTTTTGTGTACAACTCCAAAGTGAGAGAAAAAAATGAATTATCAAGCAATTATGGTAACCTTTAAAATATTACCCCCTTAAGAAAATTTTAAAACATATTTTAAAAGTTTAAATTTATACAGGAAAGCAGATGTGATCATTTTGAGGCAGAACTAGTAATACTGAACCCACACAAAATGCCCCATGGTTTTAGTAAATTATGCCATTTTCATATTTTTTTTAGGATTCAAAAAGGTCAATTTCATAATTTGGCAATGTAAAACTTTACAAATTCTGTGAACACTTGGGGAATTACTGTACATATTTCATATACATTGAAAACACTGTCTAGAGAAGACAGTTCATTTTTGGCTCATGACTCTAAAATATAGTTATTTATATGTAATCAACACTAGTTTCTCTAAGAGCGTGCCTAGATTAAGAACCTCAGAAGAGTGCAGAGGGTCACAAGAATGCCAGCTGCTCAACAGCTTCCCCTACAGAGTTCTCTGTGGTTCATTTTACACTTCAGGTTAGTTTCCACACTGCTGCTTTCTTTCATAGAGAGTGGAGGTTGGCAGTACTTCCTGTGACATCCACTTTCACACCCAAATTGGTCTTCATAGGTTCCCATTGTGTGCACTACAAAGCAACTGGCCTTGTTGGCAGCTCTAAGTGGGAAGTATAAGTCTTTCTTTTCTTCTTCACTGTTCTTTTCTGGCTCACAAGCAACCTCCCACCAAAAGCTTGAATCTGTAGAAGAGACTACATCCAAGAGATAATACCATGAAAAAGTATGAAGAGAAGCCCAGGTGGCCACCTTGCAAATTTCCAATGTGGAAGCCTTCGACCTCTCTGCCCAAGAAACAGTGAAAGTCCTAGAGTAATGAGCTTTACAAACCCTAGGAGCCTCTTTACCTTAACTACATACGCCTCCCTAATACAATCCCTTAACCATCTAGCTAAGGAACTCTTAGAAGCCATTTGACCCCTCTTAAGACCCCCTAAGAGTACAAACAATCTTTCAGAAGATCTGAAATCTTTGATTCTTCTGAGACAAACCCTAAGTGTTCTTCTTACATCCAATTGAAGCAGCCATTGCTCTTTGTCATTGCTAGGGCTAAAGAAAAATGAGGGCCAAGAAACCTCCTGGTTTAGATAAATCTCAGATGCCACCTTTGGAAAAAGTGAGGAACTGCCCAAAGAATGGCTTTATTCTGAAGGAGCATTAGAGATGTGCCATAAAAACCCAAAGCCAGTCCATAAAATACCATCATCTAAAAGAAATACAATAAGGCATCAATACACTTAAATAATGCCATATCATTTTCTGATGAAAAAAGAAAACCATCAAATCATGACCAAACAAAAACAAATAAACATAATGAGTGAATATCTTTTTCTTCTCAGAAAAGATTTCTTTTGTCTCTACAAAAGCTCGTGTTCACATTCAAATTGCTAAGAGAACTGCCAATTTGGCTAAGTTGACAATATAATAGTAAACAACAAAGTAGAAAGTAAAATATTTGGTTAATCATCTTACATTTTCTGTATGTGATGTTATGCACCTGAGTTTTTAAAAAACCATCTGGAAAAGAACCCTTCATTTTCCTTAGATTATTTGGGTTACATAGAAATAATAGAAAACGTTTTCCAAGTTAACAAAATATACTCTAATCAAAACAAACACACAGAAGACCAAATAACTTGTTCTCTTTTTTCTTTTCTTTCTTATCCTCTCATAGAAAAGATTTTTAAGCAAAATATGAACTATATCAGGAATATCCAACAGTTAGCCTATATATATTTAGTTTCTTTAATGATCAGTTTCAAAGAACATTATTCTTTCTCATTTCAGAAAGTAATCATTTGATAAAAACTGATTAACTTGGATATACTGAAAAAACATTTAAGATTTTTTTGACAATTTTCCCCAATATCATTCTTCTTAGAGAATCATTACATTAAGTTGTGTCAGATTATATCAACCTTCACTTTCTTTCCAATAAATAATTTCAGCAATGAAGAATACATATATCACAAGGAGATGTTCCAGGACTCAGACATTTCTGATATGTGCTGTTCAAAATTCCTTCTTCATACTGTATTTGATCATCTATTGTGTGTTTACATAGTACACTATTATTATTAATATGATATTGAAGTTACTTTAATCCACCATATTGCTTTTGTGACAAATTTAGGGTAAAAAAGTATATTGTGACATAATTATATATTTACTTGGTTGATTTTATTCAAGGATGATAACAGCATCTCTCAAATACACAGCATTTGCAGGTCTCCATATTGCTTGGTCTTAATCTAATGGAGCTAAACAAGGCTTTCAAAAATGTTTTTTTTGCCTGAAATAAGCATGTTAAATGTTTTCTTTAATTCTGAGCCATTTTATTTTTATATCTTGACACACTATTTCTCTAACACACTTTTAATTTCAAAGTTATGCTGAACTTAAGAATAAAATTCTCACTCAAACCTCAACAGCCTGAACTAGGACTAAAACAAGATGATTCCAGATAGGTAGGGACACTAGATGTTTGGAGTTCATTTTGTTTCTTGATTCACAATTCAGAAAAGATCTAGTAGGGAGGTAGTTAAGAGATGCCTAATCTTAGCAGGGCATGATGGTTGAGTACCACCATGGATGTCAGCTGTCTGAGGCATTAGCATGTCAATCAATAATTAAGATGTCGTACTGCTCTATTCAGATCTCTTTGTAGAAGACCCATGAGGGTCACATTATCTCATAATTAAATCTACTTTTTCATTTTGATTTTCCATTAATATTCATATTTTCTTTCTTATATTTTTATCTTTTGTTAGCTTCACAAAGTCTGCAATTCACTTCCAGTTTTCTTCAAATTAGCTCCAAATTTGGAAAAGTGATCACTATAGTCTGGATACAGTTTGACTATGTCCCACAAGGGCTCGTGTGTTAAATGGGTAGTCCTCGGTGTGGGAAGACTGAAGTGGTAGAATCTGTAGTAGGTGGAGTCTGGGGAAGGGGGCATTGGGAGCACCACCCTCAAAAAGATTATGGTGTTTCTTATGACTTTAGTTCTTGTGGGAGAGTTCCTGCATAGAGAGCAAGGTTGGACCTTCTTCTCACTCAGGCTTACTGTCTGCCATACTTATGTCACTGTCATGCCATTTTCCATAAGGCAGCACAGGCAGAAGTACCCTCACCATAACCAGCACCTTGTATCTTAGACTTTCAGTTTCCCAAGCTGCTAGCTCAGTTAACCTTCTTTCATTCCAAATTATCCAGCTTTAGGTATTTTATTACAGTGCTGCAAAATGGACTAATACAGTGATCCACATCATTTACTTTGTAATAGTGCTGCCTAAACTTAACCTGAAACATGGGAAGCCAGTAAATCATGTTAATAGAAAACAAACTTCAAGTCTATAACTTGTCCAATATTATTTACACAAGGCAAAAAAATACACACATTTATTTCACTCAGTATGTTTACTCTTGTAATTTTTTTACTAAGAAATTGTGGTTTGGACTTGCAAATTTCATATTATGTGTTAATCCTCTCCTTGCCTCACTTCATTTTGCCAAGCCAGCCATTCTCCTTAGAATGATATATAGTATTATCACACAAAATGGAGCGCTATACATTCCAATCTATCAAAAATAAAAATCTTTATAAATGTAGCTATAAGAACAGGGAACATGCCTTAACCATTACACCTTTGAATTTTTTTTAAACATAGCTTCCTTCAAAGGACTTTGTAAGGCTAAGTAAACTTAAAACAGTATATTATATTTTTGAAAGTATATTATATATTATATTGTTATTTTTAATTACTCACATTTATTGTTTATGATATGATTAGTCCTTTAAGTACTTAATATACACAAAGTTATTTAATGCTCATAACCCTATAGACTGTCTTGGAATTGGAAGCATCTAACCATAAAATGAAACAAAAGGAAAATTAATTTAATCCTCCATGATTACTTTCAAGACAGGAAAACTCAGACCTAAGGAGGTTAAACTCTTTGCTCCTGATCACCTAGCTGCAACCACTAGCAGAAGAAATACTAGGTCCTCTAGTCTACTTAATCTTCCATAGGCCAAGCAGTTTTTCTTTGAAAAAAGAAAATTATCTAATTTTAGATAAAGACAATTACCCTAAATGTATTTAGGATGCTTTGTCAGTTAGAATTAAATAATCTGCCAAGTTCAAAAACTAAAAATGAAATCTATGGCGTGCGTTGTGCTAAACATCTATCTAAAGAACGTTACCATGTATTTTTTTCAAATGATGGCATAGATTCAAAGTGGCAGGAAATAAAAACAGGGAAAAGTTATAGATTTACAAATTTAAACAAAAGAACATATTACCTGAAGTATCCCTGGACATCTTAACTGGCAAAAACATTGCTTCAAATAATTCTTGAATGTTGTTTTCTAGCTCCAAAAAGGATTTTATGAGCTGTGATAAGAATTTGAGTTCATCTGAGGATAGAGAAAGGTTTCTTCCTTTCTGTGGGAATTCAGGAGTAACTGTGAAAGAGAAGTTCAATACTGTTGGACATTTTTGTTTGTTTTCTCAGTAAATATTAAAATAATCTATGTGATTCCATACATCATCAAAACTAACAAGATGCTCCATATTTAAAACAAGTTTGTTCATTAAAAAACACATATGAAATTTTTTCGGAGAGTTTTTATCCCCTCTGGGAAGCTGGAGACAAATATTCTATTTGATACAAATATGAAGAATACATTAATTTTCAGAGCTATAAACAGGAAGGTGATTTGCTATCATAAAAATCACATTTTAAAACCATCCTTGTTTTAAGTTAAGTTTATCATAATTTGAATCTGATCATGAGAAAAAATCAGACAACCTTCAATTGAGGGACATTCTGCAAAATAACTGGTTTGTACTATTAGAAAAGTGTCATGTAAGGAAACATAGAGAGTAGGAAACATTCTAGCATAAAGGAGCCTGAGAGGATATGATCACATAAATCAGTACATTATCAACACTTTATTTTGCTACAAAGAAAATTATTGAGGGAATTTGGTGAAATGTGAGTCACTTCTACAATGGAAGCTATTATTGCAGTTAATTATTAATTCCCTGACTTACCTGACCATGCTGTGGTTTTGAAAAAGAAGCTCTTGTTTTTAGGAAATACATATTGTAGCAGATAAGAATAAACTTCTGCAACCTAAACAAGGTTCAGGGAAAACAAGTATTGAGGAGAAAGAGAAAGAGCAAATGTAGAATTGTGGTAAAATAAAATATTAACATTTGGGGAATCTGTGTACGAAAGAAAGTTGGAAATTCTTTGTAGTATTCTGCCAGAGTTTTGCAAGACTGCAATTAAAATGAAATCTTAAAGGCAAAAAGGCCAGGTAAAGGATATAGACTTTATAGGTGTTGCATAAAGTCTTTAAGACTTTATACGTGTTGTTTCTATGTCATTAAAAAGGACGAAGTTATCAATTGACAAAGAGGTAGATGACATAATTTGTGAAATCATATTTTAAAATAACTCTTAAGTAATTATGATATCTATTGCCTTCATAAGAATACAACTTAAAGATTGATTTTTTTCTCTTACAATTCTGCTACTGGTCAAGTCACATTACCATTTTATTATGATAGAAAACACTTATGCCCTCTAAGAGTACAGAGAATGGTTCAAATATTACATATTCTTAACTTTACTTTGTTGATTTCATTATAGTTTGACATCACAAAATGACATGCTTGACCATGTTTTCAAGGATTTAAAGAATATTTCCTTTAGTGATGACACTTCTTAAAACATGTATTTAAGAATTATCTTGTGGAGTTATTATAACCTGGACAATTTATAAATCATAAAGTAAGCATATACTGCCTTGGATGGGAAAACCCTCAGAATGCTATTTAGAAACTGTGTAAGGATCTGATGACCCCACTGGGAGAAAAACTGTTTTCTTCACATTGTAGAAGGATGGTTCCAGGAATGTTACAATTATAAATTTCTAGGTAATCCACTTTACTGCAGTGAAACTTTAAAATGTTGACATCAAACATGTATCCATATGCTAGTCTTTCATGGAAGATCAAAAATATCATGGTATCTTTGTTAGTAACATGAGAAAGGCATCTATCAAATTCAGTGTGGCATTTACTTCTGTTCTAAGCAGAAAAAAAACTTTATAAAAAACACACAGATACCTATAAAACTTCTCTTTCATCTCTACCTTTAACTTAGTCCCACATACAGAAAAACTTACTTCTAAATAGCCCTACTTACACCTACCATTCTTCAATAAAGATTTTACAGTATAGAAGATATGAAAGTGGTATACATAACTAAGATTTTGCTAGAAAAATCATGCCCTCAAAAAATGAAAAGAAAAGAGAATTGCTATTTGGCCTGTTTGATTTCTCTTTAGCTTTGATTAGGGAGACAAGGGGCTAGTTTAATCTTCTAAATCTTAAAGTGCCTTCTAGATATAACATATTTTTAAAAGAAATTTTCAAAGTTTTTAAGAGTTCTTTCTAGTTATGAGGAAAGACAGTTCAATAGTTTGACTAAAACTTAAGCATAGAGAACTATTTATTTGGTTCATTCTAAATTGGAAGTATTTGTAAATGTTTACTGTAAGAAAAGAATCTCCCCAACAAACCCTTTAGGAGACATCACTATAATCTGTAGGGTCCAGCACTGCACATGAAGAGATCTTACCTTGGTGATCTAGACTAAGAAATACTTTGTAGTCCAGACATAGGACAATAGTGAAAGGCAAATCCATTTTAATTCAATAAATCTTTATCACTTAATAATGAAACAGGACAGAATAACATGTATGACCTAAATCTAATCATTTCTGTCCCAAAGAAGCACTGATTGTGGTGGAGGCCCATTAATTAGTAGTCCTTATTTCCTATCACTATTAGCTCAGTGTTCTCCCAAGGGGTGTTGTGAGGGTTCTTAATTTATGGGCAAAATAATTCTGTGATACAATCATTTTGTGAAAGGCCAATTAAAGCAAAATTAAACGCAAAGGGTGGAATAGCATTTCCCACACTTATTTGACTTATTTCCTCTTCAGTATCTCACAGGACTGGAGTCCTAATCATCATACCTTAGCTCATGATTTGTAACAGCCAAAGCATATCTAGTTTTCTGTCCCTTAGATTCTTCACTACTAACTAAATTAGGAAAGAATTTCTCCCAGCAGAAATTCTCTTTATATTTTCCTTCATTAAATTAGTCTCTTTCCTTCTTCTTTTAATATTATTCCTGTTTGCGCCTCTCTTCCAAGGCACCTCTCCAGAAAACTTCATCTGGATATAACCAGTCTAAGAGTCTTCTTTCTCTGACTCAATCTGGTCTTTATTTACTTACTAATCAAATTATTTTTTTAAATCACCATGGAACTGTGTTTCTTCCAAGAAGGCTTTAACATACATGTTCTTACAGAGGCAGCCATGTTTGGACTGCTACCAATCCTTGCTGTGAAATATCTGAAATAATGAGTGTTGCTTTAGTATACAGTGAGCTCTGGTTCTTAAAATATATAAATTTCACCCAATGTCTCAATAAAATTATAAAGAAAGAAAGGTAAATTTCTACTTCAGAGGAAGACATGTAATTTACCATGAGTTAGTAATGAAAGTAAGTCTGTGTAAATAATAACTAGATAGTTGAGAAGTTTTTCTTCTCTATTTTAATAAAAGTTTTTCTAAAATGCATATTAAACCTCTGCTTTCTTATTATTTAGACTGTATAGAATATGATTTAAATTTGTTTATGGCAAGATTATAATAAAAGTTATGTCTCTCCTACACTCAGGGACTAATGTTTGTCCTTCTTTTAAAGGGCATTTTACAAAGAGATAATCATTTGAAAAAGATATAGTCAAATAATCTGGTGAACTACTACATGCAAAATCCTCCTTAAGATGATCCACAATGCAAAATCACATATCAAAGTTTTTATTTGCTTCTATAGTAAAGTGGAAACATATAAAACAACATTTCTCAACCTTTTTCTGACTAATGAACACCAGTTTACCAGCACATCTATTCACTGCAGAGATTCTTCTCAAAAACAACAGTCTGATGGGCCCTGAGATGAACTGTACAGTGCAAGTATTTATATATGTTCTGTAGTTCTTCCTTCCACTGTTAGACCTTTGCTGTGGGTTCTTCTCATTGGTTGTGCAGTTGCTTTTACCACTACCATGTCCTATTGGTAGATTGCTGCTTCTAATAGCATGGAATTTTTGCAGATTCCTTTGAGAAATTAATGAAAGTCTCCTAACTCACCCTGACTCTTGCTGAAAAATCTCCGGGTAGTCACAGTTAGAGGGCTGACCCAATTCACCTGAAGTCTGGCTGTAGGTCTCAAATGGCAGCAGGGTCGTGGATCTTCTGTGTTACTACAAGGGTGCATTCCACGGTCATCTCCAGCTCTAATGAGTCCATGTCTCTGTGCCTAGAGCCCCATAAAAACTCCTTTTGAGCAAATGCCCCAAGTGAGTTTTGCACACACTGGAATTTGCGACCACTGCTGAGGGGTGCGTGAGTTCCAGCTAAAAGTCCCTGTAGTTGAAAATTATTCTCTGGGCAACAGAAAACCTAGATTTTGATCTTAGAAAGTCAACCAAAAAGGTGCTATTGTGTAAAGCACCAATGACCTTAAGAAAATAAAACTTGGCTTTTTCCATAGCCAGAAATTTATGACTTTCTTTATTTCTGGAAGAAACATGGAACACCTGTAGGAAAGTTTAAAGAACATATCGTATACCTTCTCCCTGGACAAAGGAAAAACTGCTGTTAGGAAAAAACCTAAAGAATAGTAGAGTTTCTTTAGACACATTCATCACAATGTAAAATGATTTCCATGAGGCCAGAGGCTCTGTCCAATTTATCCAAATTTTTAGCATCTCAGAACCAGCATGATCTCTTATACAAAGTAGGTACTGAAAAAAAACTGTTAAAAAATAAAATGAATGAAATTTCATGCATCCTAGAATAGCTAGGTTCAGCTCAAACAAAGATTTTATACCTAATTGGGAAATATATTCTTTAAAACATTAATATTTATAGATGCAAATTTGTAAATAAAGAAAATGTATTATAGAAACAGCCTATATAGTATTTGACAAAATAAAACTGAAAATTCTAAAATACACAATGTTAAGGGAAAAGAGAAAGGAAAAAAAGAAGGATGGGAAAATATATATATGTATACACACACACACACACACAGGATACCTAAGTGTACTACTAATTTCTATTGGTTTATTGAAAGGAACAGTTAATGCTTAATTGTTTTTGATCAATTTGGCATGCCTATATCTGGTAATGTGAAAAACTACTTTAAAGATAACCATATGCAATAGAACATCCATTGTTGATTTCCTATCAACTTATTTTGAAATTCTGTATCATTTTTAATGTTTTTTTGAAAAAATTTTATTCTCTTTAAAATAAAAAAGAAGTGAAAACAGAAAATGTGTGCAAATGGATAGGAAAACATGGTGGGCTT